AAATGCGCGCATCAAAAATCACAAAGTAATTATGCGTACTACTTAAGTAGTCATTTTTTTATGAAATGTGGTTGGTGCCGGTGGCCGAGAAGAAGATCGTTCAAGAACCCACGTCTTGCTTACGTCAGCTTTTTTAATCGAAAACGTTTCATAATTTTAGTTACCATTTCAGGTGATATCTTATCTACTGCATTTCGTAATATACATGCCCTACTGTACATGATCTCGAAAATAATGCTAAGCAGCTTAAAAGTAATTTTACTTTTGCCGATGGGTCCTTCCTCACAGTCCAATGGGTAATTTTTCTTTCTGTGTGATACACTGAGGTAAAATCGCATGAGTAACATGGAACATGTATAATAAACCATTTTTGCTTGCGCGTGAATTAAGCTTCCTCCTGTAGGAGATCATGTAGCGTCTAAGTAGTGAGTTGTTCTCAGATCACTACAATCATCAAGCCAACTCCCAATTTGTAGGTTAAAAGGCAGAAGTCATCCTAGTGAGGGTTTTATTGTGCACAAAACCCTGGGCTGCTGTCTCAGGCAGAAGTGGCCACTTGCGAAACCAGTGGTAGTGTTTACCGCATCCACTCAGGCTTGATAATGTGTGACATATATGGCGGCAGCCGCTTTTACATGATTGTGAAGCAAGTCCATCTGGTCTACGATTGGTGCGTTGCATTGTCTGAGGGGGCGTCGCGTGTGTGTGTCGTAGCCCTTGTTGGATCAAGAGTCCCTGCCAGAGTTAAAATTGGGTGTAGTTGGAAAACGGAGAAAAGCCGAGACCTCGACCGATTTGAGACAAAGGTCTGCGGGGGTGAGTTGGGTGCCTGGCCGGGAACTGCAAGCGAAAAGATGCCGGCAGTCAGACGGAGAGACGCCGCAGTTGGGACAGCTGTCAACGGGTCGAGCCGACCTTGGTACTGGCGAAGAAGCATCGAGTAGCCACTGCGTAGTTGAGCCAATGTGCAACGAGTGACCCTCGGGTTTTGTTGTTCCGAGGCCGCAATTGGATGTGGACAGCCGCCCAAAAGGACCTTGGGATGTTAGCTTCATATTTCTTCGAAAACG